AAAAAAAAAAAAAAAAAAAGAATACACAAAATGCTTTGTACGAACAAAAAAACGAATTCACCGTTTATCCTTATATATTTTCAAACAAAAATCTTTATCGATAAATTGCAAAACGTCGAATTGCAGCCAACTCGACAAACAGCAACCCCTGTATTTCCATCATTCGTTTCCTAGTTCCTTCAACAGCCATCATCCTCCAATTTTCAGCAACTGAAAATCCACGACTGCATCGACTCCATCGAAAGGAAACGTAAATACGCTTAAAAGCTACTCGAACGATCTCGTCTCCAGCCTGCAAAGCGGGTTAATCGCGTGCCCTAAGGCCGAGCAAGATTTCTATTCCTGCATTTTTTACTTGCATCCGATTCACGTGCCGATTTCTTTATCGATTACAAATAAACGTGTAAGTAACGATCTATCTAAATTATACCCATGGAGGACTATTGCTGATTTAAAAAAATATATATATATATAAATATTTGAGAGAATTAAAATCAAAAACTCTCTCGATTCTTCATGTACAGGAATTTATTTTACAAGCATAATTAAAAGATTGTTCCATGATTATATGGGATATTCTATTCTATGGGATCTTTGGAGAGTCAATTTCGCAGAAGAATATCCATACTTGTATATTATTCAATCTATAAAAATCCACCATCTATTCGCCATAAGAACCATAAGAATAAAAATTGATGAAGAACACTTGTACCACAGTATTCCATTTAACCCTTCAATTCCAGTTATTAATAAAAACTGGATGGAACACTTCGTCAAATTTATTCATTGAAAGAATATCCCCCTCCCCGAAAATATGGAAAGCCAACGTCTACTAATTATTTCGCCCGGTCGAAATTGGAGGATCGAGGAGGAAGTTCGAGAGGCGGAAACACGCAATCGAGCAAACCAACGCATCCAAACCTCTTGACTAGAGGTTTCGTTTCGAAACGTGGCCTCGAGAAACCGTGCGTTCCATCGCGTGACTTTTCCACGTTTTAACCATGGATTCGTCGAAGCAGCTCCGCCTTGCGTTTCATCGATACCGCCAATGATAATAACGTATCTGGGATAATTATGGAACGATTCGTCCAACGGTTCGAGAGATCGATGTGAAAATGTGTGGTTGGAAATATGGGGAAAACTTGCCTTCACTTACTTCCCTCTCTGTCGAGTTTTTCATGGCGAAACGAGGATTTCCGTGGAATCCCTCGAGAGAAGAATGCGTGGAACACGACAGATTGTGTGGGTCAATGCCACGACATAGAGAGAATTGTGATGGCGAATAAAATGAAAAGTTTCGAATTTTTGGAGGGAATCGTTTGCTCCAAAAATTGTTAGAATAGAAACGAAGAAGATGAGAAAATTGAAGGAAAAGAGGAATAACAGGAGCTCTTCCCAGATTTCACTTCGAATAGCACGCAATATTCATCCAAATAATTATTAAACGAAAATTTCAGAGGCTACTATAAACAAATATCCAATTAATTTGGGGAAAAATTCAATTTACATTCCGCCGCATTACTAGAATTAAAGAAAATATCAC